TGATTCATAACCCCTCTTTTACTTCTCTACAATACCATCTTTCTACTTTCTCTGATAAATTCATTTCCAATGGAAGAAAAACACCTTCTGCCTCAGTCCCTGTGATTTCCAAGTTCTGTGCTAAGTACCTGAGGGTGAGGAGGAGTGTGGGCTCTTTTATTTTGGGCTCACATTTAACATGCGGCTCCTGCAAAGGCATTTCAAGAACATGGAAGTAACTCAAAATAAACCCTTGACAGCAGTTAGCCGAGTCCCCACCCCCCTCTGCTGAAGTGATTCCCGGCTCTTGCTCTGCAGTCCGCCTCCAGAGCTTGGAATAAAGTGACGCCGCCCCTTCAGTCCTATGTTGATACTATCTTCTGTGCCTTTGCAGTCATGCTCTGAGATTGGGTACACAGTCCCTCAGGGAGACGCAGAGCAGAACTCGGGTCTGACGCTGACTCAGGTCCTCGCGCTTCTGGTCTCATGCTGACTGAGGGACGCAGCCTGTGGCTACGAAAAGAAGAAAGCATGTGTCCTGTTGTCTCAAGGAGCTGCGCAGCAGCAGAAAATAGCAGTGGGCCCCCGTCACCCGGCCTCAACCCCTATTTTAGGTATTCACCAGGGAGGGGCAGAGAGTGAGCACAGGGTTTCAGCCTTCGCTGTGGGCATAGGTGACAGCCAGCAGCAGACCGGCAGACCTGACAGGAAAAGGTTCCCTGCAGGCTCCTCAGTGTGGGACGCTCGCTTGGGGCCCAGACTCTGCTGGCTGCTGCTGGTGGCGGACTGGATCTGGGAAGGAAAGGCATAGGTAGAGCGGAGGGGTCCCCTGCAACTTTGCCATGGACCTCTGGCTTCCACAGCTGCATTTAAAAGACATTATGGAAATGCAATTTACTTTGCTGGCAGGGTGATATTCAAAGCAGACTGCCCTCTCCGCAAACTGACAGTGGCCACAGCCCAGTGAGGATCCTCTCAAGGAAAGGCAGAGAGGGGCCTTCTGGGGGTAGTGGGGGCAGAGAAGTGCGGAAGGAGAGCTTTGCTACATGGGGAAATCTTTGAAGTGTGTAGAGGCCTCGCCTAATCAAACTCACTTCAAGAGGTTTGAAACACTTCATTAAATCGAGGCTGCACTGTTTTCCATCCAGGGTTGACTTGGTTTGAGGGAGTTTCAGGGACTGAACTTAATATTTTCTATTTTCAGTTTCCAACTTCCTTAACAGAAAGGCATAAATATGGTGGCTACATTTTCTGACCCCAAATTGGATTTAGCACTGGTCTGTCCCCTAAAATATAGGGCATATCAGCATGGTCTAGGCAGAGCGTGAGTCTTATTAGGAAGGTTCAGGACAACTGATGGGAAAAGTGGAGGACATCTTTGATTTGGATGATGACTTTTGCTTTCTTCCCTAAAATGAAAGCAATTCAACTCTGTTTTAAGGACTGTGCCAGCATTATTCAGGCTGGAGGCACCAGGGGAGAGGTAGCACACCATGAAATACAAAATTTCATCACCTTCATTCAAACAGCAGCCTGGAGGTAGGAGATTGAATTAGGTGGCTGGCCATTTTTCTCCCAAACCTAGGATCCAATGACTTTGGGCGTTGGAAGGTAATGGAAGTGAAAGTTCCTGAAGCTGTCTGGTGCTTTGGCCAAAATTCTTAAGCTTAAAAGAGCTCGTCAGATGGACAAGGGGCTCTCATTCCAGGTAGAGGGGAACAAGTATTCCTTGTCTTCAGTGCTTACCAAACTCAACCCACTACCATTATAAAGGGGTGCTAGAGAGCAGCACAAATGAGGCAGTGGTGGGTCAGTGGTAGAATTCTTGTGTTGCATGCAGGAGACCTGGCTTTAATTCTAGCCAATGCACTTCATGAGCAGCCACCACCTGTCAATGGAGGATCATGTGTTGCTCTGATGCCGAACAGGTTTCAGTGGAACTTCCAGACAAAGACAGATTAGGCAGAAAGGTCTGCTGATCTACTTCTGAAAATCAGCCAGTGAAAACACTGTGGATCACAAAGGTCCGATCCCACTGTGCATTGGATTGCCGGGATCCGTGGACTGACGACAACAACAAAGACAGGAGGATGACTAGGCTCTCCCAGGTGGACCTGGACAGGAGCCAGCCTCTGCTACACAATGAATCCTTGAAGCTTCCCAGTTTTCACCGCACCGGGAATCACTGACTACTCTGTCTCTCCAGGCAATGAGCAGGCTGGGGATGACAGTAAAATGGATGCAGCTCTGACTCATCTCAATTGGAATTATTAATGACTTTCCTCTTCATATTTATTATTGTGGTTTCAGAATGACGGGGGCTACAGAGTGAAAGGAGTTACCAGAATAATGTTCAATCCTTCTCTCCACACGGCCTTGATCACCCAGGGCCAGTGTTCCTCTATGGGTAGCATGTTCTTTCCCTCCTTCCACTTCGCTTTCCACTATTTTATTGTTGGCTCCTCCTACACAAGTGGGTCAAGGCAGGGAGAGACAGAAACCTGGCAAGTTCTGCACTCTTCTTCCAAAGGCTTGGAGGGCAAAAGGATAAAACAAATATCTACCATAAAGATGTAAAACAAATCATGCATTCCAGTTAACCAAGCTCTATACTGCCAGGAGCCGGTAACAGAGCTTCAGCACTAAGGCTTCCGATTCTGGTGGTGGTTGGAAATGGTGGTCTTGTTGGCAAACTGGCTACATGTCCTAGGGCTACGTCTTAGGGCCCTGCCTGCCACTCAGTAGGTCTCTGGGGCAGTGATGGGAAACTTGTTTTTTTTCCCCCAAGGGGGACCATAAAATATAGGAAAAATACAATTAAAGGCCTACAAATTTGAGAACAGATTTGGCTTTACTTTTTTTCAGAGAACCATTCACCTGGTTTATAACTTAAGAAGTGCAAGCATATATGTATTTTCTAGACTGTATAAACAAAGTTTTTAAAAAGTCATAAAACAAATACTAAGATACTTTACATTTTTGAAAACTAAGAATCATTTGCGAGGTGTACTAGAAGGCATTTTAAATACCTAATAATGGTGGTCAGATACTGTATCATTGGATATGGATTATACATTCTTTCTTTGGGCTCTCTTTTTCCTTATATTTCATATTATTATTAACCAATAAAATTTTGTGGACTGCTAAAAAAAACTGCCAGCATAATAAATTATTAAATAAGAAGTTGTAAATCTATGACTAAATGATTTAGGAGGCTGGGGAAGAAAAGGTGGGAAATGTCAAAAATCACTTGTAATGGAAAGGAGTCTGAACTGGTCACTCTACAGTGAGAAACTCAGGGGCAGTGACCTGTCCAAGTGGCAACAGTAGCAGAAACAAGACAAGAGTCCAGGACTCGGGACTCAGGGCTAGGTCATTCATGCTCCTGAATCAACTCTCAGGAGAAAGCCTGAAAGGCCGAGAAGGTTGGACAGACAGAAGAGACTGGAAGAAGAGATGAAGGTGGGAGAGACAGAGGGAGAAATAGGAGGAAACATGGGGGGAGTCAGGTGCAGTGAGAGAAAGAGTATAAGTGATGAGTACTTTTCAAGTTCTATGCAAAACACTGCTTAGAACTGCTATAGAGAGGAATCTTGCTGGTTCACTAGCAGGCCAGTGTCTGGCTTCTAATGCTCCATGTTTGCTGTTAATGTGATAAGTAAACAAATTTTTAAGCCACCACATGCTGGCAAGTTTTCTGTAAGAAGTTACTGACTTCTCAGAGAACTCTGTGCTGGTTCAACCCAGTCTGTCTTCTGTAAGTTCAATAGGCACTTGTTATATGTGATAACATCTGATCAACTTTCAAGATACTTTGTTCTTCTTGGCTTCATGAGCTAAACTACTGTGGTTCAAGGTATGTCCTACTCAATGGAGAAACTGTTTGGAACATGTCATTCCCATGAGCCTCATGTCAATCATAACATTCTTCCCAAGTGGTCATCCCAAGAGCTAGCAGTGACCTGGACAGAGGGGTGTACAGTAAGCAGGGAGGTCTGCATAGGAGTAGAATGAAGCTTTGTCTCAGCCTTTTATTTCCCTCAAAGTGCCCTTGTACCCATCACATTTATCAGGTTGATAAATTAATAACCAGGTGTTGGGAGAGAGGGTACTGACAAAACCACTCTCCCATTCTCCTGGATTTCACCTTAAATGCCTGATTCTTCAGGGCTGCATCTCCTTGCCAGAGACAAGGCTGGCAGCCTGGAATGTGCCAAGTTCTTGGCTCTAAATTGCAAAACAAAGCAGTATAGGAGGGAATTTGTGAGTTAGCAGATTTGCAAACACTCCAGCCAGTCACCATGTAAACATTTCTTTTTGTGTACCTAGTGTTTCTCCCAGTCAGTTACCTGGATGCTGTCCTGACGATGCCAAAACATGCTGCTCCTCAGTTACCCCTGCCTTCATGACATGCAAATAAACTCAGCTTGTTGTGCACCATTAAAACATCCACAAAAAACCACAATCACAGAGCATCTCAATAATTATGGTAGGAGAGTCACCCACGTCACTTAGAATAAGAATCAGGTCTACAGGTGTTCACAGGTGTGCAGGAAGCTGCCACTCAAACAGAACCAACATGGGGATTTAAGGGAATAAGAGGCTACACATGTTGCTTACATGGGCTGGTTGAAATTTTCCCATCACAAGCTAAGTTCATCCAGACTTCTCTCAATAAAAGGTACTCGGGCATGTGGGGACTCTTTCCACTCTCCCACTCCCCCAATAAATACCAGTTTATATCAAGGGGCCATAGTGGCACAGTGGTTAAGTACTCAGCTACTAACCAAAAAGTTGTTAGTTCGAACCCACCAGCTGCTCCATGGAAGAAAGATGTGGCAGTCTGCTTTTGTAAAGATTTAGAGTCTTGGAAACCCTATGGGACAGTTCTACTCTGTCCTGTAGGGTCACTAGGAGTTGGAATCAACTCAACAGCAACAATTTTGGTTAGTGAATAACCACACAAACCAACCACAATATTTATGGGCCGTATCAACCACATATGCTCAGCATCTGGAATCTTCACAATAAACCTAAGAAGTAGGTTCTTTCACTTCCCCTTTTTTACAGCTGAAGAGATAGAGGCTTAGTACGGTTTGGTGACCTGCCCAAGGTCACACAGCTGGTCAGTAAAAAAACAAAAACAAAAAACCAAACCTGTTGCCGTTGACTTGATTCCAACTCATAGGACCCTATAGGACTGCCCCATAAAGTTTCCAAGAAGTGCCTTTTGGATTTAAACTGCTGACCTTCTGGTTAGCAGCCATAGCACTTAACCACTATGCCACCAGGGTTTCCCTGCTGGTCAGTAGCAGAGCCCAGATCTGAACACATAGTCATAGTCATCTTATTCCAGAGCCTGTATTCTTAATCATTTTGTTAAATTACTCCTCTAATAAAATAAAAATGAAATAAAACCCTACATGACAAAAGATATCTGAACAACATCACCCAGCACCGGCATTATCTCCTCCATCTACTTCCTGAAAGACCTTTCCATTTAGCTCCAATGTGAATACTTGTTTCCAACTCACTCAAATAAAGGGTTGAAGCACTGGGCCTCGGGTAGAAAAGCTAGAGTTATAATCAAGAAGTTTTAATGAAATTGGAAAGAGGAAAACTCTAAGGGTTGACTTTTTTTTTTTTAAACATTTCATAGTATTGTAGGGTCGGAAGTTCCTAACCAAGGTTATCGAATCTAGTTCTTGCCCCAGGCAGGATGACTTAAATCACCCCAAAGAAAGGAAGGTTCATGCAATTTGTAAAGATCGGACTGCATTCTACCTACCTGAGAGGCAACTTCTAAGTTATCACTTGCTTGTCAGAGGCTCTGCAAAGTGCTTTGGAGTTTTTTAGAGGAAAGGTACAGCACAAATGCAAATTAATGACAATATACACCAACTGTATTCCCATAAGCAGAACCATCTAACCCAGCGAAAGGAATACGGGAGGCCTCAGGCTACAACGTCAGTCTTAGTCAGAAAATATATTTATTATTGATACTGAGTGAAGTATAGATGTCAGTATTCATAACAGAGAAGAGGTCTGTATAAGCCAAGGTTGCCTTCATGTTGATTAAAAAATGCCTTATTTCACTTATAATCACAAACATTATTCCCGTAAAAGAGGGACATGCTCTCTCCCTTTTGTCTTCTTACTTGCAAGATCACCGTAATAAGTTAAAACAAAGCAATTCTTACATAATCAAAGGGGAACAGGAAAAGAGAAAACCAACGGGTCACAGCCTGGACAATTCCGCTCAGTACTGCTGCCCCCTCTCCCTGCTGTGCTAGAGACGGGTTCACCCAACCATGGGACTTGGTTAGAAGAGAAAGACTTGCGGTCAGTAGAAATGAATGGAAAATAAAAAAGGTGGTGAGACATGTCCTTCTCTTTTAATCACTGTAAAGGGGCTATGCTAACACTGAAGCTGTCTTTTGATGATTGACCCCTGATCTAGGCCTGGGCTTTGTGAACTGTTGTTGATCAAATCGTGATTTGCTTCTGTTGAATCCGCTTTCTGGTGCTTCTCTTTATCATTCTTCTCTTTAAATAGGTTATTTTCTTACTAGGAAAAAAAAAAAGTTCCACCTCTGGAATTAACGTGGATGGAGTTTTGCTCATTTTCAAAGTTGACTTTATCCTCCCTTCTCAAGTGTGCCCTGTAAGAGACACAGAAAGCATTGTTTACCACCAGAAGGAGGGGACAAAAAAATGCAGTCACTGTTTAGTATAATTTGTAATGCTTTTCAAATTGCTTTCCATGTTAATAACATATAAAACAAGGAATGTGCTCAAGGGTCTCAAAATATTACTACCTGTGACAAAGACCACTGCATTACATGTATAATTCTCAAATAACCACCCCCACCACCAGGCCAAGCTCAAAGCCCTAAGAATGAGCATGGCCTGGATCACGCCGTGCATGTGTGTGTGCGCATGCGCCATCTCATGACCAGGGGCATTTGGAAACGTGTGGAGACATTTCTGGTGGCCACAATGACTGGGGGAAAGCTATTTCCAAGATAGGGGGTAGTGGTGGGAGCCATTAAACTCCAAAAGCTCTGAGAAGGAACCTCTTAATTAAAGAACAGAAGATTCTCTGGCCCAGAAACCTCTGCTCACTCCAGGCAGAATGCAACTGCTCGTGTGCTCATAATGCTGGGCACAGCTACACAGAGAACCTAACCCCAAAGGGCAGAAATGGTACCTACATTCCACTTAGCTATACTCTTTTGTGGGTGGGTAGGTAGGAAGAATTGTGAACTATCAGGTTAAAACTTGATAACCAGCTGGAACAGGAGTATGCAGTTTCTGTCCTTAGAGATCTTTAAGAAAAAAAAGTGACTTTCTCCTTTAGTTTTGAAATTAGACAGGAAGTAGAAGCTAGGTCAGACCCAAGGTCGCCTCTAGTTCGTCTGTTCATTCCTCATGTCTCCATCCCTCCTCTTCCGGCCACTCACTGGCCTGGCTCTTGAGCTCTTACAAGGTACTTGAGCACTGAGTTAGGTACTCCAGCACTGAGTTAGGTACTCCAGCACTGAGCTAGGTACTCCAGAACTGAGTTAGGTGCTATGAAGAGACAAATACATATACTCATGAGAAATTAAGGAATAACACAGGGTGATATATTATGTTAAAATTTTATTTTCTTGAATAAGTAATATATACAAACAGTATGAAATTCAAAGGAACAAAAGAATGTACAGGAGACAGTAATCTTCCTTTCTTTCATCTCCTAGTTTCTTATGGACCCTTCCAGAGAAGGAATAGTTCAAGGAGCAGTGCTTCTGCCTAGTTCTGAAGAGGACAATGCTCTGTAGCTGGAGTGATGACGGTATAGGCCTGCAAGGAGTTTTTCACTATGGATGGAATACAGGCAGAAGGGCTGGGAGTGGGGCTGGGGAGGGGTAAGGGGGCAAGTAGGCAAAGAATAAGAAGTGGGAAGGAGCCCAGGGTAAAATCAAGGGGCAGAACAGGAAGAGTGGAAGGTAACACAAGAGAGCGTGCTAGGTCATCAAAGCAAAGGGTGGTAGGTTTTCCTAGGACATCCATGTGACCATAGGGCACAAAAGAAGAGCAGGCAAACTAGCTTAGAGAGAAGCATGCAGAAATGGTCAGAAAAGACATTGATCAGTCCACAGGAAGTAAACTAGAAAAGCTAGATATTGTCTAGAGAAATGAAGTGGAAAACTGCTCAGTGGAGAGAAATCTTGCTGAACCAATACTGGGTTGGGAAGCTCATCTCAAACTGATTGCTCATGTGGGCTCAGTAATTGTTGGAAAAATAAACTGAGCCCCTGCCAAGTGAAAGCCAGTTACTGTACCTGCAATGCAAGTACCATAGCATCTCATTTGTCCTCATGACCCTGCAACTTGATCTGTGTGAAAGTGCTTCCAGTTACATGAATGGGAAGCTCTGTAAGTCCCAGGCTTATTGATACTTTGCCCCGACACTATTTATTAAATATAAAATGAAAGTCAGCAGAAACCAGATGGATACTGAGCCCATTCAAGGCCATGTAGTTACTGAAGAAAATGATCACCTAGGAGTGATGCAGCTTTGCCATGGCGCTCTGGAGAGTACACGCTCATGACATTGATGTTACAGTGAGCTGCCTGGCCAAGAGTACACGGAGTGGCTCTCCCTACATTTTAGATCTTAAGGTTAAAACAACAGCCATGTGAGAAGGTACTTCGTTTCACATGTTTCCAAATTACTCACTGCGACCACAACAAAATTAAAGAGCAGTTAGTGTTTTTCCAAAGTCTAGGGGTTCTAGAAGATTCCTGACCAAAAGGGGTAAAATGCAGAACAGAATTTCAAATTCTCATGGAATCCAGAGTTTCTGGAGCTGCGGAGGCTGAAACTATTGCTCTGAGATAATCTTTAAACCTCAAACCAAAAATATCCCCTGAAGTCTTCTCAAAACCAAACAATAGTTTACCTTAACTAGTAAAAAATGTCTGCCTTGAGGATTGTGCTCTTTTAAGATCGATCTATATGGGCTCAAACTGACAACAGCAACTCAAAAGATTACACAGAAACTTAGGGGGCAATGAGTTTATTTTAATGGAGGAGAAACAGAAAAGGAGTGTGAGAATGGTTGTACAACTCGAAGAATGTAATCAATGTCACTGAATTAAACGTAGAAATTGTTGAGTTGGTGTATGTTTTGTTGTGTATATTAACAACAACAAAAATAAGTTATTAGAAAAAAAAAGTGTAGGGACTCTTTTTACTATTTTCTTCTCTGCAACTCCAACCCAGTACAGAGGGGTAATTTTTCAGGCAGATCACGCAGTGCTGTGTTACAACTCCCTGAGAAAGAGAGTCCACTGGGGGCCTGGCTAGACTCAGGATCAGTGGTTGGTCTGACATACAGACACTGTAAGAATAGATGTGAACAAACATAAAACAAAGAGAAACAGTGTTTTAATAACCCTTCTAACCACATTCACAAAATACGCTACTACATGGGTTGGAATCCCAAACTTCAGAGATAACTCAGCAGTACAGCTGGTGACTCCTTGGAGACATGGCGACCTTGGAAAGCTCTGGCTGGACTATAAACACACCATCAAACTGCATTCAGTTGCCCCCATGGGGTGGCAGAGGTGGTACAAAACCTTCCCCCTTCTGTCGAAGACCTCAACAAATACAGTGTCAAGTTGAATTAAAAAAAAAAAAAAGATGAGTTAATTGGTAAAACATTCTGTCTTATGACTCTATCATGCCCTGCTCAAACCCAGACCTGGGTGCCTCTGGCTGCAGGGTTTAGTGCCCCCTTGATAAACTCTCCTGCAATCTCTGTATGGGTGCTATACGTAGCTGCTGTTGGGCTGATTTTCAACACTGCATAATTTCACACTGCATCAATTAACATAGGAAATTCCCCTGAAGAATGAGGGAGAAGCTTTGCCAGTTGTAAAAAATTGCTCCCTTCATTTAGGGAACCGCTAACACTTAATCTTAATGTGGAGAGAGAAATTTCTTGCTTTTGCTCATCATTCACATATCGGGGCCTGCGGAAACTCCGTCTATAAACAGCTGGGTGCACTACCAAAAGGAGCGGATGGCTTAGGCACGAATACAGCTCTTTTAGCAAGTCTCTTTCTGATTCCAGCCACCGAGGAATAACCCGCAGCTCACCGCCAGGCGGGGACTGTGCCTCTGGAGAGCAGAGTGCGTGCCACTGCTACTTAATAAAACAATCTTCATCGTCTTCCTCAAATATTTTTGTTACACAGTAATCTCCTCAACTCATTTCTGAATTACAGCTTCCTTGGAGAGGTTGACTATCACAGCAGTGTCAGCCACTGGCTGTCTTAACATATTTAAGAGAAACTTGGCAACCCTGGACTGCTGAACAATCATCATGAGGAGAATAAAAATAGTTTTTATTAATAAGATACCACCCGGATTACTCGTCCCTGGGTGAGCTCACCCAGTATCTCTGGATTCCCAAAGGCCTACCTCTTTTAGGTGTAGAAGCATGAAAGTTGACACAACTGTGGGGATCTAAACTGGGGACACGGCCTGGGTCAGATGTAGCCACAGTGCCGCATTCTTACTAAGGGGGGAAGGGCAAGTGGGGGGTAGAAGAGAAATGGAGCTGTGATGAGGAATAAAACAACAACAACAAAACCCCAGCCAGATGCTGTTGAGTCAATTCTGACTCATGGTGACCCCATGTGTACAGAGTAGAACTGTGCTCTAAAGGGTTTTCAATGGCTGGGACATTTTCGAAGCAGAGCACCACACCTTTCTTCTGGCATACGTCTGGGTGGGTTCGAACCTCCAACCTTTGGGTTAGCAGCTGAATGCTTACCGTTTGTACCACCCAAGGACTTCCTGCTGGGGAGTAGGGAGTATTAAAGCAAGAAGGAGGAGACTGTGAGATAGGAAGGAAGAATAGCAATGAATTCAATTTATGAGACGCCACAGTGAGCTTTGCCTGTGTACCTAGTACCGCTCCTCACCACCTGAAAATCTGATCAGCTAACTTATTTTGTTTTCCATATCTGTCTAGGCCCCCAGCAAGCATTGTTCTTTGTTCTTTCTGCTTTGGGGGAAACACAAGTTAACTTTTTTATGCCTGAATCTTGTTTCATATCTTCTATGTCAAACGCTCTGTGTAATATTCAAATTAAGTTATAAGTAATTAACTGTTTATACAACTTGCTGCAGTAACAGACAAAACACTAACAAATTGCAATTCTAAATTTGAAGGATGAGCATGAGAAAATATCTATTATGAAAGATGAAAATCTATTACCATGGCAATATTTCTTCTATTAAATCCAGATTAAAAAAAAACGGTCATAGGGACTTCCGGCAAAATGGTGCTCTAGGCAGAAGCACCATGCCGTCCCTCCACAGCAAAGATCCGAAAAACTAAGCTGAACAGAGAAAACAACAATCCTGAAACCCTAAAACATCAAATGAAGAGATAAAGAACTCAGCAAAGCACCAAATGGGGTGAGAAAACTGACAGAGAATGGAGAGTGAGGAGACACTCATGCAGAGGTCCCCCATCAGCTAACGCAGTGTGGATCCGCCATCTTGGACACCTATCGGAGACCAGCAAACAGGGGGTGCGACAAAGAAGCTTCACAGAACTTCCAGCGGGAGACAAAACAACTGGTAATTTGCGATATA